GGATCCATGTAGCTATTTTATCATTTATAGTAATTAGAAATGTGGCTGGTGAAGTTGTACTACAACAAAAAATGGTAACAAGAATGTTTTCCAGACAGAACCAGGATTTCTTGACTCCTATTAGCTCTAAATAAATAAAAGCTTACTTTAAAATATCAATCTTGTATTTTGTTGATAGTTTAAAAAATGGAAGTGTGAGGAAAAATAGAATCAAGACATTTGTTAGGTAGAAGAAATTTTGAAAATGTATCCCTACAGAGGAGCTGATCAAACATTTCCAGTTTTATTAATTGTAACTTTTTTTATTTATTTATTTATTTTATTTTATTTTATTTAGCGGTCAAGTTTTATCAATCACCCCTAATACTCAGGAACAAGTGGAGGTTTTGAGGAATGTGTCCACCCAGTATCAGGTAGAATATTTATTATCTTTGTCACCATTTATTTGTCTCTTGCAGGTAACAATTCTTTCTGCAAACATTAACTTTGCTCATTTTGTCTTTTTCCCCTTAGACAGGTTTATGGAAGCCAGCTTCACCTCACAATATAAAAGAGCTAACTCAAGTCCACCTGTACGTTCCTGCAAACAGCTCAGAGACAGTCAGGAACCTGCTGCAGAGACACGGCATTACTCATGAGTCCGTCCCTCATTTTATGAAGCACTGCTGCATTTTCAGGCCTTCTTTGTGTCACTTTAAGGTCCCTGCAAACTGTGTTTTTTTACTGCAGGGTGATGCTATCCAATGCAGATGAAATTATAGAAATGCAGATGAGGAACGAGTCTGGGGATCCAAGAAGTGGCTCGACGTTTTACCAAAGATACCACAATTTGGAGGATGTGAGACTCACAGTTAGACGTCTTCTACATAGGAGTGATCATAGTGTTGATGTTCACAATTAAACATTTCTCTGTTGTAGATCTATGAGTGGATTAACAGAACGGCACACGAAAACCCTACCACAGTTAAAGCTATTCTTATTGGCTCCTCATATCAGAAGAGACCACTTTATGCTCTGAAGGTAAAGCTCCATTTATTGAAAATAAAATCACTAACCTGGTTTGACAGTTCTGTCCGTACCCAGAGAACGAGGATGATTCCAGCCAGTCGACTGAACAGACGCAGCAGATGCTGCCAGAGAGTTCCAGACATGGAAGCCTAGAAGGCTGCAGGGTTGACAGGAGATCAGATTCAAGGAGATGAATGAAGGCAGGATAATCCACAGGGCGAAGTCAAGAGGCAGATCCAGGTTCAGTCCACAGATGAATCCAACAGGGCCTGAAGACAGGCCAGGCAAACAGATCAGACAGGGGCAGGCAGGCTCAAAGGTCCAACTACAGAAACAGGTCACACTATAGTAACGCTGGAGAACTCTCAACACCAACCTGGCACTGATGGCTGGGAAACATGCAGCTTATATAGGAAACCGGAATAGTTTGATGTGATGAGTGACGAGGAACATTGCAGAGCTAGACAGGTGAAAAGAGCAATCAAGCCAGCCATCAGCACCAAAATCACAACATATTTGAATAGATTGAGAATTTATTTGAAATAAGAGATGAATCTCAACTGTTAAAAATTCAAGTGCAAATAAGTGAATAAATTAACTTATCTTGATAGACTTGTATATCAAGTTATGTTATGTCTCAATGATTATTTTAGTTATTTATTTATCTAGTTATTTTTAATTATGGCCAGCATACTAAAGGAAAATTAGGGTAACTGATGGACCTCACCTAGCACTGTTTGTGGAGGATGTCAGATTAAGTGCACAGAACCCAAACATGCAAATACTTAGAAAAACAAGCTCAGCTTTAAACCCAGGACCTTGTTGCTGAAAGGGGATCATGCTGACTGCAAAAGATTTCCTCTAAATCATCCTTGTCATGCCTGTTTCCGCCTCTATCCTGATGAATGGATGTTACTTTACATTTTTATTCTGACAATTACATGGCTGTAAATAATTCCTCCTCAGGTGAATAATAGATGATAATAATTCTTATCATATGGGCTCAAATCAAAAGTTGATTTTAGTTCAATTGAGTGCAATAAAGGTCTGATCTGTTAAAAATACTATGCAGGGCTTTTTTATCTAAGCGCAGAGGGCGTTTATTCCATACTTAATCGTTTTATAGATGCTGCTTTGATTATTTAAATAGAGTCTGTGGATAAATGTTGCTCTGCTTTGTTTTAGCTGTCTCTAAATAACAAGCCAAACAAGAAAGCCATGTGGATCGACTGTGGGATCCATGCCAGAGAGTGGATCTCTCCTGCTTTCTGCTTGATTTTCGTCCAATATGTGAGAGAAACTTTTGAATATTTGATTAGATTCACCCCCAGAAAATGAATCTCAGTCTGTTTGTTGTTGTTTTTTGTCTCAGGGATCAAACAGCAGCTGCTCTTTCTCTTACAGTCGCTGTCGTTTTACAAATTGAACTCAGATATTACTCAGATCCTGGACAACATGGATATCTACGTCCTGCCTGTCATGAACCCAGATGGATACAAGTACACCTGGACAAAAGTAGGATCATGTGGAACAAAAGCCAAACGTTTTGTTACAATAAGTTCTGGTTCCGTCTTATTTTGCATATTCTGATCATTTTTGAGGCTGCCTCAGGATCTGTACACAAAGTTTTTCCTCCTCTTTATTTCAGGATAGGATGTGGAGGAAGAACCGTTCCCCCACAAACGGCACGTCCTGCATCGGAGTTGATCTGAACAGAAACTTTGACGCCAACTGGTGTAGTAAGTTCCTAGAATAGAAAGCCCTCTGAGGTTTTGCAAATACAAAATACCAAAATATGGCTTATACAGTTTGATTATCCTCTCCGCAGCAAAAGGAGCCTCTCCTGACCCCTGCTCTGAGATCTACTGCGGCGCCTTCCCTGAGTCGGAGCCAGAGTCGCAGGCTGTTGCCAACTTCTTGCGTAGCAACAAGGACATCATTCAGATCTACTTGACCATCCACTCCTACTCTCAGATGCTCCTCATCCCCTATTCCTGCACCATGGATGAAGCTGATAATCACAGTGAACTGGTGAGCACTGCTTAAATTACCTAAAATGTACCAAAAATCAGAGCTTCATGTGTATTTTTCATTTTTTCCACAGTATGAGATGGTCAAACAAGCTGCAGAGAATATTAGAAGATACTACAGGAATGTGTACACATATGGAGCCGGAGCTAAAACAATATGTAAATATTTATGCAATTTCCTTTTGACTTCATGAAGACAAGTTACTTCATCCTTTTCTCTTTGCAGATCTGGCTCCCGGTGGCTCTGATGATTGGGCGCATAATCTCGGCATTAAATACTCCTTTACGTTTGAGCTCCAGGACCGCGGGCGCTACGGCTTCCTGCTGCCGCCATCTTATATTCAGGGTGCCAGCAATGAAGCTCTTATTGCGTTGAAGACCATCGCTCTGAAGGTCATAGAGAAAACCCAACCTGCAGCAGGTTCCCCTCAAGATGTCTGAGAGGGTTTGACCTGCAGCTTTGATTGGATATTTAAATGTTGTCAGTTAGTGACACTGAATATGAGGAATCATTAGAAAGTGTTAAGAAATGTTGATATGTATGTAGTGAAAAAATCTAAATTGATGCACAATAATGAACAAAGAAAAATGACAGTTGGTGAATAAATAAGTGATTTTTTTTATTTTGTTTTCAACTTCAATCTCATTATTATTTTTGTATATATGTTTGTCCAGCCAGAGGAGGAAAGTATTGGGGAAAGTATTAATCTGCATAGGCGTTGGTCTGCTTGTCCCCCTGTGGTGGGGCCACTGCTGATCTTTGTTTACTTTTCATTTAAGAGTTAATGAAAAATAATAAAATTATGCAAAAATACTCTGTTTGAGTGACTTAAATCATTGAATCTCAAAGTGAGGGTCGTGACCCCACTTGGGCTCCTTGATCAACAAGTATGGCGTCTTCAGATCCACTACAGAAATTGATTTAAACAATAAAAATTTATGTTAAAGTGTTTAAATATAAAAAAGCATCATTTAAAAATAGAAAAAAAAAAAAAACTACTTTGGTTGTCGATGCATTTCGCAATATAGTAACACCCATGTTCATTTTATATTGGTAGGAGCATTTGTGTACAAAACCATAGTTCGGGTCATGAGTTGACACTGGTATCATTATGTGAGTCGGAATCTAATACATTTTGGGAAACTAGAAGTTGGATGATCAAATACTTTTAATATGCATAATTTTAATCTCATTACACACCAAACAAACTGTGTATTTAGACTTTTTCTTCTTTCAATCGAGAGGCCTTTAGCTTGGAGCTGCTAAAATCCCCAAACAATCTTCTCTAATAGTAAAATTTAAAAAAATGAATAAAATAATTCACAAAAAACCTGATTAAATTTGTTTTTCTTATTGCAGCAATATTGTGTCTGTATTGTGTCTCTGTAAATTTCGCTTAAAAGACATGTGATGTAAATTGGTGCTAAAAAAATAAATTGAACCAAACTGTAATAGTAATTGTAAAGGCCTCCACAGTGATGGAAAAGGCAGCACACAGTCCATACATTTTTAAGTGAAGTGGAAAGAAAAGGTTTCATAGAATAATGTGTGCATTGAACAACCTGTTCTCTAAAATTTATGTTCTGTGATAACAAATAATTGTAAAAATGAATATAAGTATGTACAATTTCATATATTTCACAGTATGGCTGTTGACAGATTGATAATTTGGACTGAATACCATAATCTTTACAGTTTACCATTTTGTAACAGATTTTTTACCGGTATATTGGATGATCCAAAATCAAAATGGGTTTTAAATACATGAATACTGAGGAGCAAATAAGGGGTTTAAATGTTTACATTCAAATGCATCTAGTATAGATACCTAAAAAGTGTACTTAAGTACAGTAAAGAAGTATTTGTACTTCGTTACTTACTTATTCAAGATAGTGGGTACAGCACTTGACGCTTATACCACTGAACCAGGAGTAACATTAGAGGTTTGTTTAAATAAAACGTTTTTCACTGTTAAGCAGGATTGAATTATAAGACAGATCTCAGACCAAGTATTGGGTTAATATAGATCAGATAAAGTTTATTTAAGATAAAGATTAATATTTATTAAGATTTATTTATGTTTGAAATCTAACCCTGACTCTAAACCTGACTTTTGCATTTTGAAGCAATGTACGGAAGAGGATTTGGGCCACTGAAAAATAATTTTTAAAAAGTTACTTAATTTTTAAATTTTATTTCAGTTCAATATTGG